GGGCACAGCATATGGTGCAGGGGATTGAACTACAGTTCCTGCGCACTTTCCTAAGCTTGCCTAAGAAGGCGCTTTAGACTGCTGAGCTATCTCGCTGCCCCTGCCACTGCTTTTCATTTAGATCATATTTAGATGTCTAGCAACTAAAAAGCTTTTCAAGTTGGGGTACCATAAAAAAAATATATTTGGTCACTGCACTTAATTCTTAGTTCAAAGCCTTGGGAACTCTTGCAAATATTTGAAAGGTAGACTTTCAAAATTATGATTCACGGTAAGTCTTGGTTCTCACCCGGGTTTATGTTAAAGAAGTAATGTTAGGGGTAGCCCCTGTCGCACTCACCCTGGGAAAAGTCCCCAGAAAGACCCCTTTGAAAGGACGGAAGCTTGAGTCCCTGCCCAGAACCCTCTGGAGAGGGGTGGGAGGCTGAAAGCAAGGTCCCTCGAGTTCTTGAGGAACAGGAGGCCATGAGCTTTGTGGCTGCAGGGCACACAACAACACTGGGAAGGTGTTTTCCTCAGAGGGAACACTCATTTGCAGCCTTCCCCACACCTTGCCCCTTGTACCTCTCCATCCGGTAGCTCATTTGTACCGTCTCTAAAGTCCTTCACAGTAGACTGGTAAATGTGCTTCTCCAAGTTGTGTGAAGTGCTCTACAAATGAACCAACTACAAAAAGAGCCCTGGGGGCCCCATTTGTTGCCCCAGACAGGCCAACCAGAAGTACACTGCTGTGAGAGGTGGGGACAGTCTTGAGGGGCTGAGGTCCCCACATGCAGGGCCTGACAGCATCCGCAGTCTACTACCCTGGAGGGTCAAACTCCAACCCAATTCCACGGCACTAAATGGGTACTCCTTGGAGAGCTGCTTGGAGTATGAGGCAAAACAAAGTAAAACAGAACAAAACCACCATCGCCACAACAAAAACACAGGTCCAATTACACATATCAAAATGGTTATAGTTCTCTTTCCTTCAATGTAGGGGGTTCTCAGACAACTCACTGGCCAATGCAGGCAAGAAAACTGCAGAAAGGGTATGCTTTGGTAGCCCCCCAAACCACGGCACACAGTCCTCTAGTCTACTCTTCCTTCCAACCATTTTAGTCAATTGCTGGACATCAGTTTCCCTGAAAACCAGAAAGGCTTTGGAACTTGGCACGCATCCTGGAGCTTCCCAAGTCCTTACGGCCAAGTGCTGAGCTGTTGGCGTGTTCTTCCTGGGTGATTTCTCAACTGAAAAGTCAACATGCACTCTGGCTGACCACGAACCTTTCTGGCTGTTATAAGACAGCTTCGGGTTTGTGGTTAAAAAACTAAGGCTCAGGTCAGATGAGAAGAGCATATTATCCTGTTTACTGCTCAAACAGACTGGAAGCCAAGGACAGAAAGGGCTGAGAAGTGCACACATTCTAGAGAGTCGGAAGTTTTCAAATCTGCTGCAGGTATGTCCGAACGAATACTGTACTTCTCAGTATAGGTTTGTGAAAATCTCTTCATACCTAACATTAAAGTCGGCCATCTGTATCTACCAATGACTCTACTCCAATAAATTCAACCAACCATGTATTGAAAACAATTGAGAAAACTGAGTCTTGGCTGACTATCTCATAGGCTTTTCTGTTGTTATTCCTTAAGTGGTAGAACATAACAGCTATTTGGATAATACTTGCATTGTATTAGGTATCATAAGTGATTTATAGATGTTAAAGTATACATGAGGGTATAAATGGGTTATGCACTAATCCATTTCATGTAAGAGACTTTTACATCTTTGCATTTTGGCACACCAGGCAGTAGGGGAGTCCTAGAACCAATCCTATGCAGATACCCAGTATCTTAGTTACTTGTGGCTGAGACTCATTACCCAAAACTGGCAACTTGTCGCCAGTCCATAACAGGCTGGCGACAAGGCAGGACAGCACAACAGAGCAGTCTAGACGAGGAGAGCTGTTCCAGAGGTGGTGGCAGGGAAGCCCAGAGAGCGAGGGAGGGTCTGGGAAGGAGACAGTCTGCCAGGCCACACCCCTCCAATCTCTCCCTGTGAACAGACTACACCATCTACAAGAAAATCAGCTCTACAAATCCATAATCCAGTCACCACCTTCAATTCCTGCCTCTGACCCCAAGAGGCTTTGGGAGTGGACCTCAATACATAAACCATAACCCGCAGGGATGGCAGTATTTAACCAACAGAGGCTACATTTTGAGGACAGACATGTTAACATTCCATGCACAGGTGATGGAGAAAATGGGAATTAAATGCCCAAGCCTGGCTCAAACACCTGCCCAACATTTTATAAATTGTGAGATTCTGGCAAAGCCGTTAACTGTATCCTTTCATATAAATTCAAGGCTGCTAGTATTAAAATGAATTGTATGTAAATTTGCCTCAAAGATTATAAAAGACATAGAAACAATAACTATTAAGAATTATTACTGCTATTATTAATATTTCTAACAGCTCACTATTATAGCAATAGGTGGCTCTGTTTAAAAAACGCTTTTGGCAGTGCTCCATTGGTGAGCTCACCACGCTCCTGCATGACTGGGCACATAATGCGCTGCTGTTTTCATTTCTGTGCCTTTGTTGTATTCGTTTTACCATCTACAGTGGCTCCTTCCACACCTCATCCATTTAGTCAGGCTCATTTGAGGCAGCGTCTTGTAACTTAGTGGTAGGGCACGCGGTCTAGCACGCATTGGGTCTTGGGTTTAATTCCTGGCATCAGAAAGAAATTAACACTAGAATCTACGTCTCCTCAGAGCATTGCTCAGGCGCACATTCTTCAAGTGTCTTAGGTGAATCAACGCAAAGCTCAACTGACCCGTCTCATCTCTTCGCTTCTCGGAGATGCCGCAATCCTGTGTTACTGTTTTCCCGCTCACGGCCTGAGAGCACCGCGTCCTGTGAGCCTGCTGAGCCTCCACAATTTGACTCAGGATGGGATGACCACGTAGTCCCTGCCTAACTCAATATATCTGTGGGGCACAGAACAGCGGGATAATTGGGATCACTCAGGATCAAAGATATTCATGTCCTTGCAGTCTGCTTGTGAGCCTTCCCTTCAGACCAAGAACTGTCCTGGATTAACCTTTACTCTTTGTTTTCCAGAAAAGGTGGGTTCTGTCACAGCCCACCTCCCGCGAGGGCAGAAGTGTGCAGGAACTTACCCTCTGTTAGATCTCGATCTATCTTGGATGATAATTTCTTTCCGACCGACAATCCATAAACTTCAGACTCTTCCACATTCACGCCTGAAGGGACCCTGTACATCCAAACAATTGAAATGAAACTAGCTAAAGGCAAATATACCATACCCAGGCAGCCCATGGCTCTCTGATGTGTATTTGTGTATACTGAACACAAACCCATCTAGCTTTTAAACTAAAAAATCAAATGTCCCTGCTTCTGTGAAATTCTCTATTTTCTCAATGATCATGCTCCATTTCATTATTTCTAAATAGTTTTCCAACATCCATGACAGTTAATTGCATTTACACCTCAGCCCTGTCCCTGCAGATTATACTTTCATGCCAAGGGAAAAAAAAATGACCATGTTCATTTTCATAATGCTCAAACACTGTACCATGACTTGAGCATGGATGAGTCACTGAATAGTTGTTGGTTTAAAATAAAGTGTGCCCTAATTTTATAGTTCTTGGCTATTCTGAGAAGAACATATAGGTTTGTGTGAAACATTTCCAATGCACAAGTGACAGTAGGTTGTGCTTTCAATGTGCAGATGGGACAGAACAACCACACATGGATGTTCCTCACTCTCTTACAATCATCTTCCACCACCCCAGAGTTAACGCCTTCAAAACTAATGAAAGACCTGGAGATTCCAAGTAAGAACTCAATCTTCCAGTCCTTCTTTATGAAGACCTAAGTCTCTTCCCTTGGCCTGGCTTGTCTCCCAGTTTGGAAATAGTTAAATAGGACTAGATAACTGAAACATGCTATGCATTTGAGTGATTCGCACAATAAATTTACTTTAATTGTTCTAAAAATATGAATTCTCACTTGTGAGGTAGTAACACATTATATTTACCTTGCATACAAACTTTCTGAACTTCATACTGTCAAGTAAATACAGTGAAAGGAATTCACCATCACAAGAAATTTTCATTGTTCTTTTCCACTAATCAGTCAAAAAACTAGGATCCAACTCTCTGATTTTGAATCACACCTTAGTGCTCTAGGACCAACAGATTCAACTCCCTCATTTAAAGATAAATTGTAAGACCCAGGTAGAAGATGATAATTTAAAGTCACACAAATGTGACTGGAATAACTAGGACCATGACACGAATTTCATAATTTGCAGCTCAGAGCTGTGAATTGTATTTTTTTAAACCAATGTCATACAGCTAAGTTCCCTATAATACGTTCTATATTTATTTTCATTGAAAAAGACACAAAAACAGCTGCATGGAAAACTTACCGATTCTCATCTTGTCGGCCCCCATATCGGATCCAATAATTCTGTATTAAATAAGAAAGCATCTATAACTTGGTTGCTATGACTTTGTTTACACAAATAGCTTAAAAGTACAATGAAAACATTCCAAAGATCTAAGATATTAGGTAGCTTGAATCTTAACCTCAAAACACAATGTATATTTTATTAAAAAACTGAGTGAAAAGAAAGGACAGCATAAAACAGTTTTGGCAAAGGCAAAATGGAGCAAAACCAGCACATAATTAGTGTGGGCATCCATCCTTTACTCCCAAAAAGTGACCTGAAAACTGGTTTTATATAGAGAGAGATGCTTTAAACATCCTTCAGTCCACTGTTTTTATGGGAAAAAAATAAAGAAAAAAGAAAAGAGACAAGAACAAAAATTTAAGGCTTCTTGAAAGCAAGCGGTACTATCCAACTACATGTCCAATCTTACATAACTATATCTGCTCATCCGAGCAACAGAGTTAGTGATAAAACAGGTAACATACCAACCATTGTTAGTCAGCTATTCTTGGGTTTGTAGCGTATGTATTATTGTGTGTTGCCCTGTTTCTCTCTTTGTTTCTGATTTTTTTTCCTTGCTTTATCTTCACTTTTCAAAATAAAATTCCATTTAAAAAAGGAAAGAAAACATAAGTTCAGATTGATTATTTATGTAAGACTTTTAAGTAAGTGCCATGTTCTGGGATCTCTTGGGACAACACAAATTTTTCAAATAATAAATAAAAACAAATGTAATAGAAGTGTTACATCAGAAACATGGCCTTAAATTAATCAAATCTTTAAAGTGTGCCAATTAATGCATAGCACACCTAAGAAAAATGATAAAATGTATTATAATTGGAAAATACTATTAAGAATGCTTTCCTAATCATATATATAATACATACATTCTATATTTATGTAAGTAACCAATACATACATGAATAAAGTTCATACATAGGTAATTCTAAAAAGAATGGTAAGGCTGAGGGTGGTGGTGCACACCTGTAACCCCAGCACTATGGGAGGCTCATGCAGGAGCACTGCAAGTTCAAGCCCTGCCTAAGTAACTTAATGACTAAGACCGCATCTCAAAATAAAAATAATAAAATAAAAGAGATCTAGAGATGCAGGTCTGTGAGAAGGCACTGACCTCAATCTCCAGTTATAGAAAAAAGGAAAAAAGAAAAAAAAAAGAAAAAAGAAAAAAGAAAAAGGGGAAGGAAAAAAGGAAAAGGAGAAAGAAAAGAGTGAGAGGAAAGGAAGGGAAGGAAGGAATACAAGCGTAATAAAAGTGTTTTTTTTAATGTATTTAGTGCAGGGTCTATAGTGTCTCATTAGGCAGCTTGGACTCCTAGTTCTCCTCCTGTTTTTAGCCTCCCAAGTGCAGGGATTACAGGCGCATACCACCACACCCAGTCTCAGTCACCTCAGTGTGACCCAGGAGCAGGCTAGCACAGCAGGCCAGAGATCAAACCCCAGTCCTTTTGCCTGCCTAAGCAGGCACTTCAGTCCTCTGAGCTATCTGGCCAGCCCTACAAGTGATTTTTAAATGTGTTTTTTTTTTTTTTTTTTTCCAAGGAGAAGTTGATGGAAACTGGAACTTTCCTGCAACACTGGGAACAGTGAAGGGATCAGAAACATGCCGTGGGAAAGCAACTTAGGTTCCACAATTTTAAAACCTGCCATCATTTGATGCCAGAGTAATTCTCCTGGGATTTAGTCTAAGCTTACTGTTTAACAGAGAAAGAAGTAAATAGCCCATTAAATGTGGTTAAAAAAATCAGAAATAATTCAAATGTCCAGGAGCAGAAAAACTGTACATCAATTCTATGAATACAGCTAGTGATAATTTTATTTTTATTTATTTTATTATGAATTTAGGACAGGGTCTACAGGGTGTACAAGGTCTCACTCCGTGGATTGGAGTCATAGTGATCCTTCTGCTTTCAGTGTCCCAAGCGCTGGGATTACAGGCGTGCACCACACCCAGTCTGAATCATTGCCTCGGCGCACCCCAGGGGCAGGGTCCACAAGGCATGCGGGGAATTGAACTCGGCAGCTGTGCTCTGCCTAAGCAGGCAGAGAGAATTTTAAAAGCTGTACAAATATAGAAATGACTTCTGTTTTTCTACAAAAACAGACCTGCCCACAGCATTGCACTAACTCTGCCAGTGCTACCTCTGAATAAAGATGGATTAGAAGGCAGCATAGCTGGGGGAGGCTGCAGGACCGGCTGCGACTGTCTCCATTCTTTTAGAAGTCTCCTTAATTTTTAAATAACAAGCAATCATGCCGGGAAATGCCAAGTGTTCATGCAAAATTTGAGAAAACAAAATAATTCGCAGGCAAATGAACTGTATTCAAAATACTTCAACCAGGAATGCTTGCTCTGAATTCAGATCTCAACAGCATGGACATCTACTAAAACGGTTTCAAATTCATCTTCTGAATAAAGACCCTTCCTCGTCACATTTTAATTCAGACTCTCAGTTCATTTAAGCTGGACATTGAGACTTTCAACAAATGGGAGGGATAAAACCATAAATAATTTAAGAATTATATAAGAATTTCCATTGAGAAATTCTTTTAAGAAACATTTCATTTCCCTATTTTGGTCTTACTGGTTCAGTGTACGAAAATCCCAGACCCTCTGCAGCTGACTTTATCAGCTCAGCTTCAAGTTCATGGCGTTTCACAAACATTGCTGCATCCTAGGGGGAGAAAAAAGAAGAAAATGCTCATAGTAAATAACATCAAAGAAATATTAACACAAGAAGAAGTCATTAGAGAGACAGAAGGCAAACTCACTCCTGGGCCTATAACCTGTTAGTCATTAAAAGCACAATTTGGCTTTCTTTTGAGGCAGCCTCCACTAAGGTTATAGGCAGGGTTAGGATTAGGGTTGGATTAGAATTAGGGGTAGGGGTAGATGTAGGGCTAGGTTTAGGGATGGGGTAAAGTTAGAGTCATGGATAGGGTTATACATAGGGTTAGCATTAGGGGCAGTGTTACAGGTAGGGTTATGGTTATGGTCAGGATCGGCATTATGGTTAGGGTTAGAATTAGGGGTTAATTTCAAGGTAGGGGTAGGATTAGGGTTTGGATTTAGGGTAGGGTTAGGTGTAGGGTTAAGGTTAGGGTTAGGTTTGGGTTAGGGTTATGGTTAGGTTACTTATTAGGTTAGGCGTAGGAGTAGTGGTGGGGTAAGGGAAGTTGTCGATGTAGGATTAGTGTTGGGTTACATTCAGGGTTAGGCAGAGGGTTAGGGGTTGGGCTACATACAGGTTTATGTATAGGGTTAGTATTATGGGGAGGGGAATTGGTAGGGGTCATGGTAAGTTTATGGTTAGTGTTAGGGTTAGGGTTAGGGTTAGGGTGAGAGAGACCTCCTGCCAATTCTGAATTGGAAATTAAAAGCAAAAAAGAGTAGCTTGGCCCCTCAAAAATACCCCATTAAACTGGTCCCCATCCTCTATTGGGCTTGTCTGATCCTCAGACTGTGTCCTCTTAAGCTCTTTGAATGGAAAATTCCTCTCTTATTTCGTATAACTTTCTTGGGAGTGATCCTTGACCTCTGTCAGAGTTTATTCCATACCATTATTTGTTACTTTCCCAATATAGGTTTTTCCTGAAAATTCATGTGAAATGCCTCAGTTTTCTTCTCCATCATAACTCAAGCAGGGACCCCCACTAGGTGACAATAGTATGACAAATGGGGGCCAGCAAGATAGCTCAGCAGTCTAAAGCACCCGCTTAGGCAAGCGTAGGCAGGCACAAGCAAAAGGGGTTTCTATTCCTGGCCCTACATGAAGCGTCAGCCCTGCTCTCAGGGCAGACTGAGCTTGCAAAGAAAAAATGGTAAGTGGTCAAGTAAAACTGTTTTTTATTTGAGAATTACAAATAAGCTAACAGAAACATTTGGAACTGTACAACCACTTCCTCCTGCAAACATATTTTCACTAGCATATGTGAAAAATATGTTTTTGGTCTGAAAGTGTTTGAAAGCGTTCTAGAGCCTTTCCAAATTACAGGTATCTGTAAGGACAGTATTATGATTCTGTGAATTATCCCAAAAGCATGTAGCAGAATAGAGTTTCTTCTCAGAACACGGGGCTTACCTCTCTAGGCTCAACGGATGCCGGGTCCATGCCGTCCTCCAGCAGACTTTCGTAGTAATCTACATTGTCCAGCATGTCCGCATCATCCGCGTGGAACAGCACATAGGCCTTGGCACACTCCAGAGCCTTTACGTATTCACCCACTGAAAAGCCAAGAATTGGCAGGACATGGTCAGCCGAGCTCTCTGCCCAGAGGACTTGGAGGAGAGGCAGTGATGTATCTATTGATGTCAGTGTTAATCAT